GATTTTGAATTTTTGTTATAATGTTATATTGATTTTGATTTGATATTTTTGACTTTGATATTTTGATTTATACTTTTGATTTTTATATTTTTGATTTTATATCTTTATGATATTAATTTTATTTAAATTGTTATTATTTATACTTTTGATTTTTATATCTTTATGATATTAATTTTATTTAAATTGTTATTATTTATACTTTTTAGTATTAGTATTTTACACTTTAATTTAGTTTTTCTTTGATTAATAGTGACTTCATTTATTAATTATTGTAAATCTTTTGATTTATTTTATTCTTTTCTTTATATTTTTATATTTTTTTCAAATTACTTATGTAATTTAGACATTTGAACATATAATATCTGTAGATATTGGCACAGGTCTTAGAAATCTTTGTTAATATTTATAATCTTTTTACTTAAGTTTAAGCACCTCTCTTTCAACATCATATACTTATAGTGATTCTTAGTGAAACTCACTATTCAGAATTACTATAATAATATATTTACTAAATTTTAATTTTCAGATTATTTTGTAAATATTAGTATTATTATTGAATAACTAATTTTTATTATATATAATAATATTATTATATATTTTTTAATATATATAATAGAATTAATAAAATTATTAATTAAATTTATAAATTTTAAATAAATTTATTTAATTTAAAAAAAATTTTTAAATAAAATAAATTTTAACTAATTTATAATAAATTATTCTATTATTTTAATTTATTTTAATAATGATATAATTAATTAATAAATATAAACAAAAATTAAACAAAATACAAAATAATAAAATTCTAATTCTTTATATTAATATTATATATTTAAAAAATAAACTAATAATATTATCAAAAATAATAATTATATTTTTACTTGTTTTTTACAAGTAAAAATATTATATTTTAATAATTAAAATTTTATTTTAAAACAAAATATTAAATTACTAATTAATAATAAAAATATTAATTTAATAATTTCAATATTATTATTTTGATAAGCTTAATATAATTCAAACTTTTATATATAAATTATAAATTTTAAAATATATAGTTAAAAATAAAAAATTTAAATATTAAAAAATATTTGTTTAATATTATATATTCTTAAAGTTTAATATTTAGATAAGTTTAATTATAATATTTATACTTTTAAAATAAAACATATAAAAAATAAATATATTAATTAAAATAAAATTTAAAATTATTAAATATAAAAAAAATAAAATAAATATATAAATAAACATTATTATAAATTTATTTATTAATTATTAAATTAACTTATAAACTTGAATTTAAATTGGAAAAAAAGATTAAACAAATAAATTAAATATTCAAAAAAATATATTTAAGTTTTATATCAATTTTATAAAATTATAATAATTCAAAGATATAAATATAATAGAGTTATAGAAAATTAAAAATTAAAAAGAAAAAAGATTATAAAATTATAGAGAATAAATAATAAAGAATTATTTAAAATACTAATTTTTTATACTTATGTAAAGCTTTTTAAAGCTAAAGTAATATAATTAATAATAAAATAAAAAAACTCTTTTATTTATTCTTATAACTAAGAAATATCAAAATTAATTTCAAAATAATAAAACCAAAATACTTAATTAAATTTAATAAATTCAATAACAATATTTTATTTAATATAATATAATTCAAAACTAATAATTCAATAAAAGTATTTTGTTTATATTAATATAATTTAAAGTAATAATAAATAAGTATCTAAACCTATACCAATTTTAACAAAAATTATTAAATAATTCTATTAGAATTTAAGAAGAAAAATTAGGAGTATATATTCAAAAGATAATTAAAATAATAAAAATTACTAATTAAAATAAATAGTATTAAAATATTAGTTAACAATAAGATTATTAATTATCTTTGATAGTTTCAACTTGATAAATACTCATATATTTTCTTTGAATCTTTTTAAAGTTTGGAATATATCTATATTAGTATTTATAAAAATTAATAATTCAGGTTCTTTATCAATATTTAATTTAGCTATCTTTAGTATATAAAAGAAAAATAACTATTTAGTAATATATATCTTGGTAAAAAGATTATAAATTTATACAAAATAAAGATTTATTTTTTTTGAAAAGTTTTTAAATTGTACTTTATTTTTAAATATAATAATTAATCAATGAAAATTATTTAGATCTTGATATTACAGATAACTTTTATAAAATTGATATTAAAATTTTGTTCTTTTTATTTTTGCAAGTTAATTCATTTCTTGAAATTTGATACTGTATATCTTCTGTTATTGATAACAAAGGAAAACTTTATATATAGTCATGATCAAAAGTATTTAATTTCTCTTAACTTTTCATAAATTATATATAATATATCAAATTTTTTTGAGCACAATGAATATTACAAATATTGATTATTGATACTTTTATAAGTTAATAGAGCTTTTATATCAGATATTGTATGTTTATAAACTTTTATGTGACAAATATATATATCAATATACAATAATTTAATTCTTGACATTCAGTGATATGATTTGAATAAAAATATTACTATTTGATTCATCTCAACTAGATGAATCAAATAGTAATATTTTTGTTCAAATAAGATCACTAAACATGTCTTAAAGTAGTAACTTCCATTTTTTTAACTTTAACAAAAATTAATCAGCAGCCAATTTAGAATATAATACCTTGGTCTTCAATGATCTGATTTGAACAAAAATAATATCATTCAATTTTTCTAGTCAATGTAAATTGGATCACTGGAGATCAAAATATTACATACATCCTAAATTAACTGATTCATTTTTTTGGTGATTATTTCTAATGAAAAATTGATTACCAAATATGAATCAGTCACTTTAGAACTTGTCATAAAATGATTGATTTATTGTATTTGGGCATGAAGTATATGAACATACAATATCCATATAAAAGCTCTACCAACCTATAAAAACGTATCAACGATCAGCATTTATAATGTTCTTTGTGCTCAGAAAAATTTGGTATATTACACATGATTTACGGAAAGTTAGGGAGGTCGGATACTTTTGGCCACGACTGTAAAGGGTGGAAATACTTATCATATAGATAAAACTATGCATATATTTGATACATTTGGTTCAACATGGAACCAAATTCTACCTTTTTCTAGTTATGTTCCAGATCAAAGAAAAGTCTGTTCTTCAACATTTAAAGATGGTAAAATTTATTATGTTGGAGGCGTCTATCAAACTGACAAAGTCATTGATATTCGAGAAGTAAATTAAATTTCTTTCTATTTTATATGTAAGTAAAATTACTTATATATTTTACTTTTTAAAGATATTGATATATGATACGTCCAATGAAAATTCTCCGTGGTCTTTAAAAGTGAGTGTAATCAAGTAAAATTATTACTTAAGGTCAACATTAATTTTTATCTTTTTAATCAATTAAAAAAGATTGCAACAAATATAACAAACATTAGCAACCGATTTTTTCATTCAGCAGTTCTTGATAAGTGAATATTTACTAACATATTTCGATACATTAAATTAAATTAAGCTTTACATTCATATTAATTTTAGCTCCTGATAATCGAAGTATTATTATATTTGGTGGCACGAAAGAATTCTCTGATTCAAGAAATAGTTCACTAGATTATACTTTAAATGATTACTTGATTTCTTTGAATCTCGAAACATTTGAATTGTCAGAACTTAAAACTCTAAACAAACCTAGTATTTATGATATACCATATATCACACCGATTGAACCACCAACACCTCCATCTCCAACACCGCCAATCAAAATAATAATTATATCTATAATAGGATCGCCTGTTTTTATCGTAGCAATTGTGACAGGCTTTATTTTTATCGCAAAAAACGTAGAAATTATAATTTGCAAACTCAACCAACCCAATACAGCGTTATCTCACAATACGCCCGTAAATCAACACACTACTACATTTGATCACAATACAACATTCTCTCATGTAACTGTAATTCCACAAATTGATACGTTTGATCACAATGATCCTAATTATAATTCTACTTTAGCTTTTAAACTTTCCTTAATTTAAATACTTTCTGTTTCTAGAAATTATAATATTATTAAATTCTATAAATTCAATTATATCTTATATTGTATGTTAACAACGTCACGTTATAGTCCCTGAAATTTTATATGCATATACACACCCCTACAGTATATTACCGGAAATTGGTCGTGCAAAATGCCGATCCAAAGTTTAAAAAGCCAATTTTA